ACAAAGTTATGTAATTTATCGTGGGGTATACTTATTTGTGTGGAGAATCCTTATTGGTATTCGATCTTTTGCAAAAAAAATTATTATGTTTATGTAAGAACCTTGTATAAAATATTAATAATAATTATTGTTGTAAAATTATTAATCTTTTTTCCTTTCATCATAATTAACACTGGAAATTAATCTCTTTTCCTCTCATCACAATTCACACTTGAAATTAATTCACAATAAAACTTAATTGGCAATATTAATATGAATAATGAATGATGAAATAAACATGATAGAGACTGCCTACAATTATGATTGGTCATCAACCTCTCTCGGTCCTATGGGCTCTTGGGAACCCTCGTTTAAAACTGCTGTGATAATTTACTGATTCGTAGTTTTGTTAAATTTATGACACGAAAGCTTGTGTGTACAATTATACATTAATTCTTTAGGATTTCTGTCTTCATTCAATGTTTCCTTTCGCTATCTATTGTGGTCCCGATCTTAATTTCATATATAACAAAGGTAAATATATAACTTTTTTTTTCTTAATATTTTTATTACATGTTTATTTAGGTAAATAATTATATCTATTTATGCAGCAATGATTCCAATCATAAGAGAAAAGCACCCAAGTGGTTTGTCATGATTTCATCACATATATTTTAAATTCTATAGAAAATTTATTTAAAAATGAATTAATTTTATAACAGCATTTGGAAAACCATTTGCCGAAACTTTTGGCGATTATCTTCCACCTGATTTTGAGCAGTAAGTGACACTAAATGTCACATTTATATCTTTATAAAATACAAATATCTAAGTTCTAATTATAAACTTAAGAGTAAGATCTACTAGAAAGGGTATATTTCGTAGTAACCAACTGTCCATATTTTGCGAGATGACTATTTAGAAGAAGCCTACTTTAGCTATTCTTTAAGCCCAATCTTTAATGTAGATGGTTCATTTTTGGCTATGATGAACATGTCAGAAGATACGACCACTAAGGTCTTGGCTAGCCGAAGATTGAAATGTCTTGGTGATTTAGGAAATCGTGCTAATGGTTGGTTAATAGTTAATGATTGTTAATAGTTTGTTTATTATTATTATTCATTAATGGGAAAAGATTTGATAATATTAACTTGTCATGTCTATATTATTCTTAAAGATCTTGAATCTTTAGAAAGTGCCTGTCACATCATAATGGATACATTACACGAAAATGATAAAGACATTCCTTTTGCATTAATTTATCTTATTGATAACATTAAATCAACTTCTTGCTTCAAACCCCGTACTGCTCGTCTCGTTGCAACAACTTTTGATCATAATCAAAATGTGGATGGGAAATCTGGAAGTCGCGTACCCGATAATTTATTAGAAACTCTCGAAACAATTGACTTGACAAAGAGCACTGATGAAAGTTCTGATACATATAAAGAAATAGAAATAAGACGAAATATAACGACTCATTTATTTTTAAAATGCAAATCCTGGCCAATTGATCTTGTAATAAAGGAAGATAAAAATATAAAGGTTATCGTAAATGATGAGTCTCAAGCGATACTATTTCCAGTTAAAATTCAGTGCGGTGAAATCAAATGCTTATCCGCAATATTAATTTGTGGCCTTAATCCTTCTCGTCCGCTTGATAAAGAATATACAGAATTTTTAGATGTATGCTTGTATAATTCGCTCTTATTAAATTCTTTGTATTTGCGATACTGAGAATAGAATATTCATTTAATACTCATTAATTTGCTTAGTTGGTGGTGAATCACGTTAGTTCGATTTTATATCAAAGCATATCAAGAGAAGAGGAAAAACAACGATTAGAAATATTAGATGATTTAAATCGCCAAAAAGTCTCGTTTTTTCAAAATATCAGCCACGAATTACGCAGTATTAATTAATTATTATGTGTGTGTTACTTTCTTTTTCTTTAGTAAAAGCATTTCTAATTTTTATTTCATTAACTTTAATGCTTTCGCCTCTTGAAGAGGCAATTAATTTATGCGCACATGAAGCAGCAATACATTCTTATCTTCAGATTGTTCAGCGCAACACTCGTAGATTACTCAAACTTGTTAACAATTTACTCCAAGTAAGCACTATATAAATCTAAATCTATTTACCACTTAATATTTTGATATTAATTTCTGATTGAAAACTTCATAAACGTATAATTATGACGAATTTAAATCATACAATTTTGTTTTACGATAATAGTAGTCAAATGACTAGTGCATTATTATTTGTTTCGGGATTATACAGTATTATCTAATACTTATTTATTATATTCTTTAATGATAAGATTTTTGGCATAAATTTAATTTTGAAAATTAATCGCATAATTTTTGCCGTAAACAATTAAATTACAAATTATGATTATTAAAGCTTTTTTTGATTTTATAATTTTATAGGTTTCAAATATTGAAACTGGTCAATTAAAAGTTCAATATCGTGAAATTAACATAGCAAAGCTTACTCAAGAATTGGCGGATAATTTTAGTAACATGTCCAAAAAGTTAAATTTGGATTATATTATCGATATTCAGGATCCAGATGATTTTGAACAACCAGAAAATAAAGCTTATTTGGATCGTGACTTGTTTGAAACAATTTTTTATAATCTTTGTAAGTATAAGTATTTTCCTTTAAAACTAAGTTCAAATTTATTATACTAAAATAAATTTATAACTGTTTTAAAGGTTCAAATGCATTTAAAAATACTTGGAGTGGGCATGTCAAAGTTTTTTTATATATTAATCGTAAAAATGAAAGTAATACAGTAATACTCGAGGTGTCAGATACAGGTTAATAGTGTTCTTTATTATGACTATTAATTTATTATCGTATTCTAACACAAAATTATGTCTACACATTATAAAGGCGTAGGCATTTCAGAAACTAATCTTAATAACCTATTTCAGCGCTTTTATCGTGTAGAAGCTCAACAATCTCGTAGTCATGAAGGTAGTGGAATAGGTCTTGCTCTTGTAAAAGAGATTATTACATGCCATGGGGGAGACATCACCGTGACCTCAAAAGTTGGCCAAGGAACAACATTCAAATGCAAATTTCTAACAGGATGTGAGCACTTGCCAGCTAGTCGAATTTACCATGATGGAGATGATGTTGAAGAATTAAATAATAATCTGCAATTAAATTTAAACCAATTATATTTAGAAGAAAATTGGCTTTGGACTCAAGGCAACAATTCAGAATATGCAATAAATAAGGAATCTACAAATGTTATTAGTATGGATATTGATAAAATGTTTAAGGGTCAGCATACGTCTTCTAAAACTATAAGGCATAAAGTTTTGATTGTTGATGATAGTATTGATATGAGGTAAAGATATTCTTAAATATCCAAGCTTTTGGAAAACTTTACAATTATTTTCTAAACGTTTACTGTTTATAGAAATTACATAGAGGGATTGTTAAAAAATGAATTTGATGTTTGTTGTGCTTGTGATGGTCGTGAAGCTTTACTGCTTTTGGAAAGCTTATCTAGATTACCTGATTTAATTCTTAGCGGTAAGTAATTATATTATGAATGGCGAAGCTCGCGTAAAAAGCTATGTTATTGATGATGCAGTTTATTACTTAAATCGTATTAAATAGTTATTGAGCTTTGATTAAATTTAAGCATCAAAAAGGCAACTTAGAAAACGCAGGCTTCATCTCCCTATACCAGGAACGGTGTACGAAGTACATAGGGTATGGTTTACTTGCGAGTGAAATGGTGTGTGCGATTCTTGACGTA